TGTAAACATTAGGTGAACAGATTACATTGCAACCTTGTGTGCTAACAACACGCTATGTGACGAGATTTGCAGTGATCAGCAATTTGGATGTTTGCACTAGACAAAACAGAACAGATATGTAAATACAGCCATTCAGAAGCACAGAATAGTGCACTCACTGCACTCCAACAACATGGTAGGGTTTGTAATATAATGAACTCATCATTATCATCATATGTACCTGCTGAATAATTGATATTTGTTGGCACTGAGTCTCAGTTCTAAAGTTCAGTTTCAAACTGTTTATTTTACTTTATTTATCTGCTGCTGCTGCTTTCAGTAGTATGGCAATACATGTCATGTAAAATGCCATTCAAACATGCATTGTTAGCACTCTCGTCAATCTGCCTACCTGCACTTGCATGGACTCAGAGGAGGATCCGAGTGAAAATGTGGGTTGATCCAGGAATGCACTACTTAATTTAACCACTGGGTGTCAAACTTACATACTGCACCTTAAAACGGGGAAAAAGAGGGGGGCTAATAATTCAGGAGGGTGAATAATTCTGACTTTAACTGTGCATATATGCAATTGCATAAAGCTAAACACAAACTCAGCTTTTTAAGACATTTTACGCAAGACATCCTCATGTAGTGCTGAGTGTCAATGTTTTTAAATCAGTGTTGACAGTTTGCAGTTTTTTTTTTGCAAATTAGTAAAGATTTCAGTCTTTTTGAATCTTTAAAAAAATGAATCCAACAATAGCTAAATAATAATGAAATAAATACATGAATAATTAAAAAATACTGTAAAAGGGCAAATGTTTTAAGCACACTGATTATAAAGCATAATGCATTTATTTGTTCTGCTGCAATAAATGGTTTATGGGTTTATGAGTGTTGTCTTCAGTCAAATAACAGCTTGTTATATTTTCTACAAAGTGGTGAATTAAATAAATTTAAGTTTTTATAATCAATACTTGTTCGTTTTTAGTTGTTTAATTAGTATTTTGATTTGTATTTGCTCTGATTCTTACGTCTTCTGCATTTTTTGTGTGTTTCTAAATAAAAACTTTCCTGAAAATCAGACTTTTTGTTTTCAGTTGATTCCCTATAGAGTATATAGACCCACACAGAATTATATATATATGCAGTATGTTTCCTCTAATTTATTATTACTCTAATGTTGGAAGTATGAGTAAAGTAATTTAATCGCCTAGCAACTGTGCAAACAGTGTGACAGTAAAGTAATAAAGGGTTATATTTAACACCTTGTTGTGTGCACACTAAGTACTGCACACAAGATCTCCAGTGATCTAGCCTGTGCCAAATTATTGAACTACAACTCCCATAATGGGAAGTGCACGCACACACCTATTCTTGATCCCCCCTGATTATACACACACAGCTGGAAGCTCATCAAGGACTAATCAGATGGACCATAAAAACAGTGCGCACGCACACACATACACACACCTCATTGCTAAGTCTTGTTTATTTCCTGTAGCATTACAAACCATTTTTCATTTGTTTGACCCCGACTACTCTTTTGGATTGCCCTTAAACTTGCTGCTCCCTCCTATTTGGATTGTTTGTCTGTGCTCAAATGAATAAAGACACCACATAGTGGATCCTCAACCCTGTTGTCAGAATTGTTTGTTACATAAAGTATATTTTACAACAATGTAATTAAATGCATCAGAGTTTAATTCTATATGCAATGCTCTGTAAGTGGTGATACAGTGGTGCAGTAGGTTGTGCTGTCACCTCACAGCAAGAAGGTCGCTGGTTCGAGCCTCAGCTGGGTCAGTTGGCGTTTCTGTGTGGAGTTTGCATGTTCTCCCAGCGATCGCGTGGGTTTCCTCCAGGTGCTCCGGTTTCCCCCACAGTCCAAAGACATGGGGTACAGGTGAATTGGGTAAGCTAAATTGTCCGTAGTCTATGAGTGTGAATGAGTGTGTATGGATGTTTCCCAGAGATGGGTTGCAGCTGAAAGGGCTTCCGCTGTGTAAAAACATGTGCTGGATAAGTTGGCGGTTCCGCTGTGGTGACCTGGATAAATAAAGCAACTAAGCCGAAAGGAAAATGAATGAATGAATGAATAAACGCTCTGTTAAGATTGTCTAATTTCGAGACAGATGAAGATTCAATTAATTCACTGACTTTTACAATGATTGGATAAATTTAGCTATTAAATTTCAAAACCATGTGTGTAATCACGAAGCGTACAAATAGATATAAACACAAGTGCAGGCAGCAATCTCATGAGGTTACTGTCGAACACATAATAGCTGCAGGACACCTGAGAGCTGTTTTTGACATCAAGGCATCTTCAGCTTTAAGGAAATCATTTTCAAAAAGAAAGTATTAATCCCCCAATCCTCCCCCACATTCAGGTAAGATCTTGATAAACCAGATTAACACCTAAAGCTCTCTTCTGCTGTTTTGAGCTTCCTTACCTGCAGAAGTCTAATGATAGACTAGTGATTTAAACCAAACTGCAGGTATTCCTTTAAAATTAAAGTATTTACCTGTCTGTTTATATCTCTGTTAATGAATATTGTGGCCTATAGTTGTAGAAAAGTACAATATTGTATCGTTTGTTTATATTACTATAGTTACTGTTGCCTTAGCAACTATAGAATCACCACAGCAGGGGTGCGTTTCCCAAATTACGATGTAACTTGCGGCTGAATTATCATAGTATGATGCATGGGTTGGGAAAAAAACGATGTAGTGGGGAGTGTTTCTCAAAACCTGTAGTCACAGATCCATTGTTTAAACTTTAAAATTATGTTTCTAACCACAGCTCCAGAGGTGTAGTTACAAGTGCACAAGTTTGCAACGCAGTTTGCGAATGTTTGTTGGCAAACTATGTATGAACGAACGTTACAGCCTTAGTTATCTAACAATGGTTTTGGGAAATGCACCCCAGGTCAGTTACTATAATAGTTGTGTTACCATAGCAACTGTAGAATCACTACAAGAGATCAGTTAGGATAGTTGTTGTGTTACCATAGCAACTGTAGAATCACCACAACAGATCAGTTACTATAGTATTTGTGTTACCATAGCAACTGTAGAATCACCACAACAGATCAGTTACTATAGTAGTTGTGTTACCATAGCAACTGTAGAATCACCACAACAGATCAGTTACTATAGTAGTTGTATTACCATAGCAAAATTAATATAAATGTATTATTATAATAACTCGCACAATGAGGAAGAGGATGTTTCATACCATCTGTTTTATCTACGTAGTTTTGGTCAGAGACATTTTTATGCAAATTTGAGCTGTTTGGGTGCAGTCTATTTACTCTGTGTTTTTACTTGTTGTTGCTTTGGTCATGCTCATGCTCATAATGAATTATAGCAATGTTTATAGTTATTTATTATCATCATAGCAATTCTGTAAATCTATCTATTAAGTCACAACAAACTTTATACTGTGTTAAACAGACAGTTCTAACAGAATGTCCATTGTAAACCTTAAAGAAAGTTTTTTTGTTTTGTTTTTAATTTCATGGTTTAAGTTTTAGGTATAATTATCCTAAAATCATTCGGATTAAATTCTCTCTTTTTTACATAATTATATGCAGAAATAGCAAAAAAAAAAAGGAAAAAAAAGTTCACAGATTCGGTGTGGCCCTTTTAACTGCCTTCTGTTTGATTATAAACAATAAAGCCTGAAGTCACACGTTTGCTTTGCCACTGACATAAACTAACTTCACAAGATTTAGACCATTTGATCGTTGCACCTAAAGATAATGCACACACAAGGGCGCTGTTTATACCAAACCCTTTTGCCTTCCTTACGCAAAGATTGAGGCTTGCTAAGTATGCTTTCCCTACTTCCCTACTTACTCTTTAACCCCTTTGTATTATAAAGCCTTTGATGTATAATCTTCATCACGATTCTGTCTTGAATAATGCACTGTTGAAATGCCTTATTGTTTAACATAATCCTTGCCATAAATGTTAAATCAAGATATAATAAAATCGAGAGATAAACATAACCACTCCAAATATTAAAATCTAAAAATATGAACTTTCATTAATGTAGCCATCGTTAAAATGATTAAACTGATGTCAGTACTTTACAGAGCAAAAAAAAAATAAAAATCTATTAAATTCGATTAATCTTTATTTGTTTGAAGACTATAGTGAATTGAAACAGTGTCAGATCAGTTTTCAGAGTTGAAGTTCAGTTCAGTTTGCCTTAATATTCATTGCAGAGTCCAAACACTGTAGAGCAAATCCAAATGTATGTAATTATGCAGGAAAAAGACTTTAATTCTTTCTTTTCTTTTTTTCTTTCTTTTCATTTCTATATTTTTTTCTCGTCGGCTTAGTCCCTTTATTAATCCGGGGTCGCCACAGCGGAATGAACCACCAACTTATCCAGCAAGCTTTTACACAGCGGATGCCCTTCCAGCCGCAACCCATCTCTGGGAAAGAGATGAGTTTTTTTCTTTATTTATGGGTTCCTTTCTTTCTTTCTTTCTTTCTTTCTTTCTTTCTTTCTTTCTTTCTTTCTTTCTTTCTTTCTTTCTTTCTTTATTGGAACTAAACAGATTGTGTGTATTTTAAATAGTTAAACTTTTGACAATAGTTATCTTTAGCTATATGCTGCTCTCACTTTAAAACAATCCAGTCAGACCAGTTAAACAACACATTATAGTTTCAATTAAGGAAGCTTCATTTTACCAGTAAAGAAGAGTACTGAACACAAGTGTGAGCTAAACGGTGAGTGTTATGTTTTATTTTATTTTGGTACAAGTGAAAGACCTCTGTGTCGCAAACCACAAAACATTATGTTTAACTATATATGTCTACAATAATTAAAAGATAATTGTGTGTTTTTTTAAACAGGAAAATTAAGCAGGAATTAGCTGATTGGTTTGGTTTGGTCAGAAGTAAAACAGAGGACATACATTATTAGACAATAAAAAGTGGGAAAAGTTTTTTTATTAATAAACTGCATAAAAAAGCAATAGCCTATATCTGTTCTCTAATCAAACACATATATTTCCAAAGATCATTTTAAACTGAAGACAAGATGCGGAGGAGGAACAACAATGTCCCAGCAGGTGAGTTTTAACTCGTTCATGCTATTGTTTATTATTGGGGTACATTTATATTTATATTCACACTTTCAGACTTTCCTCCTTAATATTAGATTTTCAGAAGAGTAATCTTTGCAAATTCTAAATAAGGAAATCATATTAGCAGCCAATGACTATCAAAGTAGGGCGTCACAGTGGCGCAGTGGGTAGAACGATCGCCTCACAGCAAGAAGGTCACTGATTCGTCCTTCGGCTGGGTCAGTTGGCATTTCTGCATGGAGTTTGCACCCAGTTTCCTCCGGGTGCTTTAGTTTCTCCCACCATCCAAAGACATGCGCTATAGGTGAATTGGGTAAGCTAAACTGTCCATAGTGTATGTGTGTGAATAAGAGTGTATGGATGTTTTCCCAGTGATGAGTTGCAGCTGGAAGGGCATCCGCTGCGTAAAACATATGCTGGATAAGTTGGCGGATTATTCCGCTGTGGCGACCCCTGAATAATAAAGGGACTAAGCCGAAAAGAAAATGAATGATTGAATGACTATCAAAATACAACATTGTTCTGTTGAGTGCTGATATTGTTTACTTTCATGTGATTTCATACTGAAATAATCAAAGTACCGTGATAAATAATATAGGGCACATGTCAGAAGTGGTCACTGTTAAACAATTAACGAATGTGTGAATATAAAACCAACTTTACCTCAAAGTTGTGTGTGTGTGTGCGTGTGTGTGTGTGTGTGTGTGTGTGTGTGTGTGTGTGTGTGTGTGTGTGTGTGAATGAGGACATTGCTGATGTCCTCCTTTTTTTCAAAAGCTTATAAATCACACAGAATTAGTTTATTTCAGAAAGTAAAACTGTCCACAGTTCTCTGTGAAGGTTGAGTTTAGGGGTAGGATGGGGTTAGGACAATACAAAATACAGCGTGTACCGTATAAAGACAGTGAAAACCTATGTAATGTCCCCACAATTCACAAAAACAAACTTCTTCTTGAGAAGTATTTTGTGTCTCCAGAATATGTAAGATTTCAGCACTAATAAGCCATCAGATTATTTGTCAAATCTTTCTCAACATGTAGATTTTCAACCCTGAACACTGTAGCTGTCTTTGTTGCCTGTGCCTTTAATGCAAATGAGCTTATTCTCCCTGCCCACCATTTACCCCCCCCCCCCCCCCCCCCCCCCCCCCCCCCCCCCCCCCGTTTTGTTATTTCTCCTGGAAAACTGCAATTATTTTCCTGTACTTTTTGGTACAGTCTATAAAACCCCCGGATCACTAACCTTGGTATAGTATCCAATCACACTGGCTGCCTGAAACCTGGTGCATAGTACAGTTATTCTGACAGCCACCCTTTCTTTTGGATTTTCAGAGACAAATGTTGGCATACATGTTTACATTCCCTGCACCGCCTCATGTCAAATAAACAGCACTGTGACAGATAAGAATGAGAAATACCACAGTAAGAACTTGTGGTTATTTAATGAATTTGTTGTGGAGTTGATTAAAGCCTTTCTGCAACGATGAGTCACACATAATGTCGTTACAAAGTTTGCACAAACATGCACACACACGTTTAACTTGGGACTGCAAATATGACAGGACAAACGTAAATATTCCCTGATGTTATGTTAATGTACAAAATTAACCTGATTTAACATTCGCAAACTGGCATTGAAGCATCTTCTTTTATAATTGTACTGACATGAGGCTGTGGTGATGAATTACAGCGATTTTACCTTTGTAACTTACTTTATTACAAACATGATCTGTTTTAAAAACGTGTTAAACTTGTAAAACTCATTCTTGAGCTGCAGATGATCACAGAGAGGTGCACAGATCTTTTAATCCCAGTTGCTTTGCGCAAGTCCTGTTTTTTAAATATGTATATGCCTTAGATGTTAATAGGCTGCTGTCACTCAATTTCGTGGGCAAGGAAATCGCACTCCTACTTCACGTTGCGGTCAGCCTCATAATTGCAGGGATTTGGATCCTACTTTAACATCAGGAAATATAAAAAAAGACTTGCAACATAGGCTCATTCTAAAATCGTAGCCCTATTTACGCTTCTGGAGATAGTGAATTATGTAGCTAGAGGTACGTATGGCTGCATTTTGTTTTTAAAATGAACGCTAGGGGGCGGTATATGATGTTTTTCCTCTTCGCGCTTACCTTCTGACTGCTTACCTCCATATGGATGGCTCTCCTGCTGTTACCGGTTTGTCCAGTTAGCTCAACATATCCGTCGGTGGGCATGAGATGAAGAGAGGAGTTGACCACGATAGTAGGGTACAAGTCTGCACTGTAAAAAGAATCACCTGGGGTGCTAGAAAAAAGAAAAAAAAACGTAAAATAACGAGCATTTAATTACAAAAATGTCCTTAATGTTAAATTTCTGTATTTCAACCTGTTATTTTACAGTAAATATCTGTAATTTAACGGCCATTATTTTATGTTTTTTTCAGGCACCCCAGCTGCCGCAAATAAACAGTAAAATTACAGATTTTTTTACAGTGTGGTGAAGAACCGTTCCAGGAAGCCAATAAGATAAAAAAAACAAAAGCAAAAAAATAAATAAAATAAACAAGTAAATAACAGAGTGAGAATGTGGTGATATCTGAAAATGTGGTAAAAATTAGACGAGGGCTTTTCTTTTCCTGGAATGCTTTTTGAAACCGTCGGTTTGGATTAGGGAAGTGGGTGGGTGCTTGTCAATTGGTACCTTTGAAAGCATTATTGGTTGGGTTTAGGTAAGAAGGAGGGTGGGTCAGTCAATTGGTCAGTCATTCAGTCAGTCAAACAGTCAGTTGACAGCGTTGGATTTACGTGAGAACAGCAGGCAAGAATGGCACTCGTAAGAAAAATTTGAGATCTAAAAAAAAGCATACACAGCGGCCTCTGGTGGATTCACGGAAACAAAAACTGCAATAAAAATTTAGCTCCTGGGACGCATTTGGCGTTCTCCAGAAATGTATACAGGGGTACGTTTTAGAATGAGCCTGGGTTGATTTGTTGTGTTGCTACACACAGTTATGTCCAAACATCTTACAAAAGTGTATTTCATCATATGTGCCCTTTAAAAGTTAAATAACATCCTCTCTTTTTTATCAGACCTCAGGATTGTTCTTCTGGGTAAAACCGGATCAGGAAAAAGTTCAGCCGGAAACACCATCCTGGGACAAAATAAGTTTGTGAGTAAGGCTTCACTGGTATCAGTCACTGAAACCTGTGAGAGAGGAGACGCAGAGATTAATGGAAAGAAGATCTCCGTCATCGACACGCCAGGACTGTTTGATACAAGACTGACAGAAGATCAAATAAAGAAGGAAATTATAAAGTGTGTAGAGCTGTCTGTTCCTGGTCCTCATGTGTTTCTGCTGGTCATCAGACTGGATGGGAGATTCACAGCTGAAGAGGATAATGCTGTGAAATGGATTCAGAAGAACTTCGGAGAAGAAGCTGCTCGCTACACCATCATTCTGTTCACTCATGATGATCATCTGGGGGATTTATCACTGTATGGGTATATTAGTGAAAGTGCGGATCTCTGCGCTCTTTTAACTGCATGTAATCGGAGATATCACTCGTTCAACAATGAAGAGATGGGAAACCGCTCACAGGTCGCTGAACTGATGGAGATGATTGAGAAGATGGTGGAGGAGAATGGAGGACAGCACTGCACTAATGAGATGTATGAAAAAGTCCAGCGAAAGATTGAATGGGAGGCTTTTACGGAGAAAGCTATAGACTATGGGAAAACAGCATTAACAGTAATAGGAGCGGGAGCAGTAGTAACAGGAGGAACAGCGGGATTATTAGCAGTAGCAGCAGCAGCAGCAGTAGTAAAAATGAAGATAGGGATATAGGTCAATAATGATACACTATTAACAATTCCATGTAGAATCTACAGCAGGGGTCACCAAACTTGTTCCTAAAGGGCCGGTGTCCTGGAGATTTTAGCTCCAACCCTAATCAAACACACCTGAACAAGCTAATCAAGGTCTTACCAGGTATACTTGAAACATCCAGGCAGGTGTGTTGAGGCAAGTTGGAGCTAAACCCTGCAGGGACACCGGCCCTCCAGGACCGAGATTGGTGACCCCTGCTCTACAGTAACTTACTGACAGCAGTTCTCCCTGTAAATCATTCACAGCAAAACATAATGTATTTACATTTATAGCGGCATTTGTCTTGCTATGCTCTGGTACCATCTCATGTTTGCGTCTTATAATAATGACGACGAGTTGGACGAGTGTCTTCTATATTTACAAGTTCAGTCTGCCTGATACTGTCTTATTCTAGCACTCTCTCATCTCACATAACCCTTTCCAAACCTCTGGTGCCATCTAGTGGTTACACACGCCATAACATACAATCACAACATACAACAAGAGGAAAACTAATGCTGTGAAGTCAAAAGCTCAAGTAAAACAAACCCAGATCACTATAATGGTGAGCAAAATTAAAACTATTTATGGAAATAAAACATCTGCTTAGAAATGATTTGAAATAAAAATGTTGAATGAATTATTGCATGTGTTCTGATGCTGCCATTCATCAGGACTAGTATAGAATTGAATTATATAGTTTTAATCTGTAGCGTTTAACTGTCATATTAAATGAATTGATGCTGACCTGATGCCATTGTGTCTCCTGCAGTCACTCAGAGGCTCTCAGCGTTTGTATGAGTTTGTGAAGTGAATAAGACAAACTAAAGCATTTGCATGTGCATCACACCTTAAATATGATCAAATGGGGGGGGGGGGGGGGGGGGTGTATCAGTCACGCAGTGCAACACATCTCCCTCGCTTAGTCAATCAGGTTGTGAATTGTGAATATTGGCAGAACCTAAAACACACTGTCGTATACGCAAATCAAGAGCATCCCAAACATGCTGAATGGCTGCCATTATCTGGTCAATAAGCTGGCTAAGAAAGGACTGGGATGTTTTCAATTTTCAGATGTGACCGTGCATGATCATGCTGCGACATGTTTGTGGATGAATTC